TAAACAAGTACATTAATGTATAAACAATGTTGTCCAGATTAGAAAATATATAATTACAAGATCAATGGATTTTTTTAAAATACCTTTATTGATATCAATCTCTGGATGTCATTCAATGTAATTGAATATCGCCATAACGGAAGGTCAAATTGCAGAAATACTACCTCATCATGGGTTTATATAAATTATTTTTTCAAAATTTTACATGTCATATCTTAATGTGTTGGGCATTTTGTTTAGACTCGTGGCGATTTACAGCTCGACATATTGTATAGAGATCTGTGAAATGTTAAATCCTGTATACTCTCTGTATTATTGAAATGATTGTTGTCTAAATTTAAGTCTGTCTGTCATGTATCATTACTGGCACATTATCCCATTTTTATGTTAATAGTTTGTACTTGCACGTCAATGACGACTTATTGACCAATACATTCCAATATATAAAAATACAGTATTAACACAAAGTTCAAAAAAATAAAAATAAAACATAAATTAAACTATATCTTTATTTGATAAAGCCAAAATACCTTTGCAACATACGATACTTATGAGTTAGTTGCTTGTTCTGTTCTTTTTTTAGGTATATTATTTTTTTTGTTAATCAAGTGACCGATATTAAAAAGGAGAAGGTTAAGAACTAGTTAAACGCCGCTACATGTTGATTTGCCTTAAAGCCAAGTCAGGATTTTGGCAATTGGTTGTCTTTTGTACTATATGAATGTTTTGTCTATTTATGTCGAGCAATTGGTGTTGTTAGTATATCTGTCCTAATCTATGTTAAATTTATCCTAAGTACATTGAGACTTGAGGCGATAAGGGCTTGACATATTGTATAGACACCCGTTTACTTCAAAAAGAATTCGTCTTTTCTGTATTAACTTCATCAGAAACCTCGATCCCCAATAATGGAAGATAGGATGTATACATATTTGAATACACGAGTAGCTATCTGATCAAAAGTGGCGTAAATATCCTCATAGGGTCAACTTTGCAACTTAAGTTTCTTGATAATTTATGTCATGCGTTTTATATTTTCAATCATCAAAAATCTTCCTGCGGCGTGCTCATTTCTTTCCTTACAATAGCACAATGTCGTCTACTATAGTAATTTCAAAAAATATGTTTCATTATAGTTTGAAATTTAAATATATTGGTGTCCGAATAACTGATCTATAGTGTATTTAATTTTAAATACCCGGTAAGCAGATATTGAAAAAGCCATATCATATCATATACACTTTATTATATACCTCAAGTAGATGTTTTTTTATATGTGACATGACGTTCTACAGATTAGAGGTTTAATAAAGCATTTGCAACAGTGACTGATATCGATGACATGACGCCATATAGATTAAAGGTGTGATAAAACCTTTGCAACCGTTACTGATCTCGATATCATCACGGATGGCTTATACAGCACGATTGCCGTTGACCATATTACACATACAATTTATCTGTTTTTACTACTAAGTATATAATTATTGATTTTAAATACCCGGTTAGCAGAGCAAATAAATGGACAAAATCAATATTTTAAGATATTTCTTTCAAACTAAGTGTTTTAATTATGGTTCAGAGAAAAAATGTTTAAAAATGTTTGAATAGTATGTTTGTCAATGCAATTACTGCGCATTCTTTAAATGCATGGTTGTTATAATTCTGCAACTATGCTTTAATGTACATATGAAACTTGCTCGACATATTCGAAAGTATGTTACTTAAAGTTGAGTTAAACAAGTTTTAGTAGCTGGAGCTGTCTTAAAAGTAAAATGTTATGTGACCATTTGCTTAGAGTTAAAGACATCACTTTAATATGTGATAAAGAAGAAGGACAAAAAAAGATGTAATTCGTTTCTCTGGGTCTAGTGCAAGTAGGGATTTAATGGCATGCGTTAATACACCATTACTATTATTTTAGCAAACGTAGTCGTAAGAGACCTCGAACAAATCAGCTATGAAAAATGTCTGAAATACAAATAGATAGCTGATGCTGATTTACAACGCAAACAGAACACTGTTCAGCATAACGACACTAGTATATTTCCAAGTATCATTCAAATTCAAGCTCCTGATACATCAAGGGCAACATAGCATGGACATGTCCAGCGCAATATACTACCAGTATTCAGTCATAAATAATATAGTTTTTGTCAGTCAGATGATGCTGTTGCTCTTTAGTGAGTCATGTTAATCTAGGGTTAAACATGTGTAAAGATGTCCTCATTGAAGCCTGCCGGCTTGACTCACCAGATCTACAAAAATCGCACAAAAAACTAGCAAAAAGACTTGAGACACAAAGTACAGATCTGAGAGTACCCGTCACTGAAAGCTAGTTCATAGCCAATAACAACTACTAGTATATAAAACAATCGTGTATCCGAGACTTAAATATCAATTGGTACACAACAAATGTATGTGGTGTAAAGACATTAACATAGTGTTTTTGTATGACAATAATATTTAGTTATGTTTTAAATTATTGATTGCAAAATCAATGTTTGTACCGATAAAAAAATATGTAAAGATCCTATTACAGTGTTGAATTGATACTATTTGAGAACAAAGTTTATTCATATCTTTACACGGAGTGAAATAAACTAGCCATCTCTATAAACATGATCATCGTAAAAATTAGGATGTGATATCCAGTTTGTAATTTGTTTTCTACAGGTATAAATATCGCCAAACTTCCAAACTATTTCTTTTTATCTATGAAAGCATCTAGTAAAAGTTTTAATGTGGTATGAGATGTTAAATTCACGTTCCGTGATTCTCAAAACTTGCTAACATAATAAAACATATGTCCAAATTATAAAAAGGCCTAAAGAAAAAAATTATAATGGATGTACACGTTATAATGTATCAAGCATTTCGTGCGTATCTTAGACAAGACGCCATCTAATTATCGCTCGAGATGACCCCCGCAGACTGCCGATAATCATATTACCCGATTAAACATAAACATAAACATAAATGAAACATGCAAACGTATAATACCTATTTGTCGAGGTCTATTTGATGGCATGTCATTACAAATATATGTAAACTATCGTTTTACCTTTATGAGAATGATTATTCCTGGTGGATCCCTTGTTTCACTTTTCAATGTTGACATTCTTTTCTGTTTAATAACTGAACATTCAGACCTCATGCTGTTCACATGCACAACCTATCTCTACTTAGGTTCAGTTCAAATTAAAGGTTACATGCATACGGATTCAAATGAGACTGAATTATTGATTTTCTGACCAATAATTCATCAGCGATCTTTTTTTTTTTTATTTTAGCTCATTTTAACTAAATTCAACCAAACTGATATGATATCTATAATCCAAATTCTATATAAAAAAATTTCGTTTCATGAGTAGTTTATGTCAACTTTAAGCAATTTGTGGTAACGAAATTGTAGACTTGATAATTTACCAGTAATACACCGATTACGTTATGGAAATCGTTTTTTGATTTAATTTATCTTATCTTAGAATTGCGAATTCTTTGTTATTTAACGAAAAATATCTTCAATTTAACTGTAAGAGTTGTTAATCAATTAAATAGAACTAAACGGATCTTTACTGCGTTTGGCCATAAAATGTGATCTATAACAATACAAGAACAAGAATCGAAAAACCTCCTTCGAGATAAGAAATCATGGACTAATTCCTAAGTATGAATAACATAAGTTCGTAGAATGTTGTTGAGATAACACTAAGTACACCAATTACAAGGATTGAATATATTTGTTTTGACAAATTATTAAAATAGACAGCGAATCGCAACCTTTACATCTGAAGACATTATGACAAAGGCAACACAACACAAAAGCTGATATTAAGAAATGTAATTGCGCACCATGTAAAATGTCTGACATAGTTGAGATGGGTGCCGTTATCGTGTCATTTGAAGTTATTGGTATTAGAATTATGAATGATCAAACAGGTAATTATACCAGTACAACAATGTGGGCTGACCAATATGATTTGCGGGACGAATAGACCAGACAAAAATCATATGCGGGACCAATAAACCTGTCAAATATCAGAACGTGAAAATAAAAATATTTGCGACAGAGGAATTTTCCGGAGTTTCTTTTCTGTTAAATGATTCAAAGTTAAATATAAATCAACGTTTATTGTCATATGAGGTTTTAAAATTTTACAATCGGCACTTACAAGTGTAACAGGTACATGTAACAACGAAAAAGAGTGCAAAATCGTCATGTACACGTAACACAATATCGGACATTCATAGTTCATAATACTGTTTCCATTACGGTGTGCATATCTAAGATTTTATACTTTTGTTATTTAATAAACTTGCACATTAAAATTGTGCTTGTTTATAAGTATTATGATAAGTTTGGTATTATTAATTTTTGTCATGTAATGTATATTTATGTAGCGATATATTAAAAGAACTCCACAGTATTTTTTGAATGTTTAACTGCGCGCTGATGAATTTCTTATATTTCATCTAATAAATGGAGTAAAGAACTGTTTATGTCTAAACATTTAAAGACCATGTAAGGTGGAAAATAGTACAGTTAAACTCAAATTGGCAACAACACATGATTAATATCAAATGAATTATATATTTTAACAAACTGTTGTTTGCATTTTAATTCGGGTAAATAACGAGTATTGAATTGGAATCGTCCGTGTTGTTTCTTCAAGTTCTGAAAGACAATACCTTGATGCAGGGATATAGGTAAATACGTATGTGGAAATTAAACCCTTCATTCATAAGAAGTCGTTCAGTTAGAACCCAAGATAACCCGAAGATTAATATTGCATGCAGTTTTATGAATATTTTAAAATTAAAGTATTCGCAAGATAGGCATTTTTAATGTTTGTATTTATTTTTAATTACCCCTCTTTAATTTTTAGAAAAGCACTCCCGCAGTCTAATATTTTCTGAAAATCCTTCTGCAATTTGATTGGTAGACATTAACATATTTAAAGTAAGCAATCAGTTAAGGTAGGTGTTTCCAGCTTGTACAGTATTTGTATCGTTATTGATGATACAGGGACCTGCTTTTTATAATCACCTCGGGTAAGACGTCTTATTCAAAGAACAATAATAATTTCTAGTACAGTTATAACTTAACATACATAGTAATCAATGATATATGGTTAACCGTTAATGATGAAAGTCATAGACGGACTCTGTAAAAAAACATAATTTTACATGAATATAACTGTATATACAAACTTGTATCTCTGATTTTATATTTTCGGAGGTTTCGCAGAGTAATTATACAATTGCCTCTTTTTAATTACGAAAATAGTTAATTGAAACAAACGGGAAAATACTACACATACACATACATTTCTCTTACTTGAAATACCGAAGAAAGGCTACTGAAGGTACTACATCTGATCAATATAACGTACTTTAAATATTTTTTAATTGTTTCAAACTTACCGATACAAGTTGACAAACCCATAGACAGACACAATAAGCTATATATTGAAAATATAGTACAAATGTAAACGGTACCAATTTTACTGCACCAGATGCGCATTTTGACAATTAATGTCTCTTCAGTGATGCTCGAGGCCAATATATTTAAAAATCCAAAACCTAATACAAACGTTGAAGAGCCGATCTATCAATAGAACCTTAAGTATAGCCAAAACCGGACATGGAATTAGTAGTTACATACAGACAATTAAGCAATAGCAAAAATGACTATTGGTAGGAATAATTTATAAATGCACAAATGTCATTTTTTTTAATGAAGTTCAATGACTCACTGGGTGTAGTGTTTAAACTTACAGAAGAATTTCGGACAAACTGAAACTACTAAAAACTAAGGGATTAAACGAATATAAAAGTAATGATTATGTATTAAATTTGCAAGAGATCTGACCCCCTATCCGCACATTTACCGTCCAATCAATTTTGTCACATATACAATTAACTTTTAACATTTACCAATTACCATTACTTTGCAAGTCTTTGAAAAACACTGGTTTGTTGTCAATTTGAAAAAAGATTATCTATCCAAAATGGACTATAAAACAAATACTCCTAGTCTTGTAAAGTTATTTCTTCTTCAATTACCATTTTCCAAGTACCCAGTACATCTTTCCAAAATTATTCTTTATACTTTGCTCTAGTAATTGCACATTTATTAATTCAAATTACGGACCTGTCATTCATAGTATACATGAAACTTTATGATAAATTTTGATATAGTCCGAAAAGAGAATGTGCATCTGCCTTTTTTATTTTCTAAGAAAATTACACAGGCCCCAGTAAAAAAACGGCAGATTATGTACATGTACGATATGGTTGCAAATTTAAAAAAACCGAAATTCTTCGATAAAAATTCAACATCATCAGAAAGCTTACTGAAATTGAATGATTTGTTTACAGGCATAATGGTGAAGGACGGGTATCTGCAAAAAAGGTTGTCATTACTGAAAGGCTATAAACCCCAGTGGTTTGTGTTGGCAGATGATGGATATCTTAAGTACTCTAGCGTATGTATGATTGATTGATTAGATTACCAAAATCTTGAGTTTTGTTTCCCTATTTGACTATGACTGGACTTAACAGTTCAATGCAAGTGTAATATGTATTCTGACTTTTAAGATTTCTTTTATCTTTCAGAAATCGTCTTTGTATTTTTTTTACTCTGTAATTCTTTTTATTGTTTAGTAGGCTTTTGTATTAATAAACGGACCACTGGCGTTGAAAACTAACAATACAAATTAAAATGAATACAGAATATTTATTACTAACAATGCAAATATTATATATATTTACAACATCATGTGTTTGTGGATTTTTGATAGGCCGCAGATAAAAATGTTTTGCCAGTTCCATGGAAACAAACAACCCGATAACCAATGAATTGAAAAAAGCATATCAGGGACCCTATGGTAATATTAGTGTCAAAAATATCCTTCCTACGTGCAAGAATGGACTGGACGGAGAACCCCCCTCTGTTTACACAAACCTCTGCAAAAACAACAGTCCCTCCGATTTTTCATTTGCAAACAACCTGAATTACGTGTACTGCGGAGATGACACCTCCCTTTTGTTTTTTTGTTTTTTTTAATTAATCAATTTTATTGCACCTTTGCTGTTAACAATTTACTCAATCTACAGCTTCAATTAAGTATCCCTTTAAATTGGTTATTGAATATCTAGGGAAAGATATTCAATAAAGTATATCTATAAAGTAAGTTATATTAATACAGATCAATACTACATTAGAACAATTCTACACAATTTTTGTTTTTTTACCGGAATACGGTACGTTTCTTAACCTATACTGTATATGATTTTTTTTATCAAAGCTTCACTGAACCGCGAAATTGATGATGTATTGATCTTTGATACTGATAGCATGACTCTTCAGTCGACAATAGAATTTTTAACTTAAAACTTTTTGTTTTGTTTACAACACTGAATTATATAAGAAGTCTTGGATGATGAGGTAAAAATGTTTTTTTTTTCACACATTATTTTTTAACAGTAAATGTTGATTTCTATGATAAAGCCGAAGATCGAAAGTACACGTGGTCTTCAAATTATACATGTATGCAGTAACGTTGCATTGTGTTGTGTATTCTGCTTGCTCTCCTGCTCATTATAATTTTGCATTGTGAACAGGAATAAACATATTTAATAACAATTCTAATTCAGTGTAGCTGTAATAAATTATAAAAGAGTAAAATTGCGAATTTCAGTTAATGCACATCAATTGACTGGACACATGTGCAGTCATGTATTAATGAGGTCACAGCTAAGACTTGTATCTAATAATTGTCTTTTCATTTAAAGGAATTCGAAATATTCCCTTGTTTTAAGTATTATTTTCTTGTTTTTTTTGCTTCTGATTTCATTTATGTTAATAATGTCCCAGATTTCATTTTTGAAGATTTTGAAGATATCAATGACCTTATCTTTCTTGTCAGACATATAATATGCTTTATAGATGGAAAAGAAAATTATAGTTAATAGATAGTTCATATCAAAATAAGCTTCATCATCAATTTTATAGCCAGTTACTAAACTTTCAAGACTAAGTATATGCTTATCAATTTTTAAAAATGCTAATAGCTGGTCAACTTTATGCCAATAATGAACATTATATGAAAAGGAAAAAAAGAAGTGTTTATAATCATCATGTTGCTTACAATAGAAGCACAAACCACTTGGTACTATTTTCCATTTATAAAGTAATTCATTACAGGCTAATATATAATGTATTATTTTCCATTTAAACGTTTTAAATTTGTTGTTTTCAAGGTAGTTAAAAATAAAGTTAAATGTGGACTTCAATTTTGTAGTCATTTTTTTATGAAGAATTCTTTCCCACATTAAAACTCCTGTCGGTTTATCATGTGTAAATTGACTTTGCAAGAAAGTATATACTTCTTTGTTACTCATATCTGGTGAAATTTCATGTTTTAGTAGTATATTTAACTTCACTGATGTTTTATATTGACAACAGTTTTGTAAGAGCTTTCTTGTTTTAAAATATTTTGCCAGTGCTTTGGTATAGCTTTTTTAACTAATGAAAATTCTCTAATCCAATCTTGTTTATTCTTTAAATTTTTTAGTACAGTTTCTGATGAGATGTATCCGTTTTCATCTAATATATTATTGATGTACAAAATATTACTATTAATCCAGTTTTGAAAGAACAGACATTTCCCATTTTCTTTGAAAAGATGATTTCCCCATATAAGTTGTTTTCTAACCTGAAGAAAGTTTCTTGGTACGATTGTTTGACCTCCTTTTATTTCTACCCATGTTTTAATTAATTGTTTATAGAATTCAGGTAAAGATTTATAATCTATTTTATTAAGCAAATTAACATTTGTTAAATTCATTCTGAATAAAAGAAAATCTTTCCCAAATTTATCAAGGTAAAATCTTGGAATAATTTTCCAGTTATCATTTTCCTTTTTTATTAGTTTTAAAACCAATCTGATTTGTAATGATTTCAGATAGCAGTCTAAATCAATCATTTGTAATCCTCCCTCAAGATATGGTTTACATAATATAGTACGTTTAACTTTATCTTTTTTTCCACTCCATATAAAATTATATATTAAATTCTTGAACTTTTGCTTTATTTCCTGTGTTATTATCATACTTGATGCAATGTATGTTAGGTTTGGTAAAATTAAAGACACACCTACCTTTTGTTACCAGAAGTGAAAGGAATTCCTCTCGATGGAAAGAGTGAACCCTAGGAAATAATTTTATACCCTCCAACAAAGAGCCGGTAGGGTAGAGATATGTGCCAGAGGGGGACAGTTCTAAGTCCGTTTATTGTCTCCCTGAACCACCAAATGAATGGGGAACTCATAAAGTCCGCATTCACCGCCAAACATTATCCGCGGTCACTGTTCTGGTGGGAAAACCTTATCGATATTTAGTTTGAAGGTTTCAAGTGCTGCTTGGATGTTATTCAAAAAGATACCAATTCCAACATATGACAAGTGTGTTCCGTCATGTGTGAATAAATTTGACTCAGAGGCTTTTATCGATAAATACCTCACAAAGTGTTGATCTTCTTGCTTCATGAAAGACCTAACAGCACAATTAACTCGTTTCCTCGATAATTGTTTTAACTTGGGCCTTAATGTGCCATGCCAATAGGTTCTTGGTAATATGTCTGACCAAATTATTGGGTGCAAAAACTTTGATTCTTAAAAAAAAACATTTGATGTTCTCGATTAGTTCTTTAGGCTTTAATTCTACTAAGTCATTTGCACCTAGATGAACAAATATATAATTTGGGGTTGGCCTCTATTTTATCTCATTTTCCAAGGTCGAATCAAGATCTTTCCATTTCATTCCCGATTTAGGTATCCGTTCAACCTCCACTCTTCTTCTTTTCAAATTAAGGTTTTCCTCACTAGAACGACAAGCAGCTATTACACCAGCCCGATGGGGAATCGAGAATCCCAGTATCCACACCTTAGTCTGCACCTAATCACCTAAAAACTGAAACCGTCTTAAAGTTGTTCTATATGTGTAGAGGAAAATTCAAAATTGTTTTTACAGAAAATTAAACGAACAATAATTTGTTACCAAGGAATTCTGATGTAGCGCTCAAATGCTACTAACGACCACCTGCCCCACTTTTTTATAGTTTCATCTTTTATTCCGCGATTGCTCGCCTCTGTGGCGGCTCCAATTCTAAAAGAATGAGATTTCAAAAGGTTCGGGTTAGGATTGTTAAAAAAAATGTACGGATTTTCATAGCATAGCTGACAGTTAATATTGGGTAACCGATGACCCGTCAAAATGAATAAATAAATGGTTACAACCTGACACCGTGGGACGTGCAGATAAGTCCTTTTTTATTGATAAGACTGGACAAATAGCTGCGTTATCTGTGTATTTATTTATGACGATGCACGTTGAATGACCTCTCTGATCTGTTTTACTTTTCTTAATGTTAATTTTGAGTTGATGATCTGACTAAGCCACATTTGACAGTTGCAATGCTATGGTACTAGAATCGGATTTATGTTTTGTTGTAAACTCACTCACACGTAACATAGCGAAAAATGCTAGAATAGATGAAGATTTAAATAAAAACGATTCATAAGAAGATGTACAAATACTAGGAAGGGCATCTGTGATCAGTCGTAGTAATGATAATGTTATCGGGGCCCTGTTGTCTTTCTGTGGGTTTCTTCTATGTAAACCTTCGAGCATTTTAGATATAATAAAATTCTTAGTAGTATCCTCTGAATTTAGTGACTTATGAGAAAAGGATATACCACTTATATAAAAGCGAACGGTAGCTGCAGAAAAATGCTTCAAAGATAAATAAGCTATGAATTGTACTAGATGTTCAACAGGAACTGGCCATACTTTTTCCAATGTATATTGAAGTTGGAATGAAGCAAGAACAGATCTAGCTCTTGAATAGCTTTTCCATGTGTTTTCGGATAAAGAGTCGGTAAATAGTCGAGCAGATTCCTCTGTTATAGATTCCTTACTTGGTTCGGAATTCGAGTTGGTGTCAGAGATGCATTTGGTGCTAGGTACCGGAGGCGGGATCACTGGCAACGAGAAATTGCATCAGCTATAATATTAACCTTACCTGGAACGTTCTCTGCTTTAATTAATATGTTGTTATGTAAAGTTTCTTAAACTAAACGTCTGACCAAAATCATGACATCTGATGATTTTTAAGTTTTCTTGTTTAGAATGTGCACCGCTCCTTCGTTATCAATATGAAAAAAGGCCTTTTTATTTCTTAGTTCAGACCCCCATAAGATGATAGATACCATAACAGGAAATATTTCTAGAAAAGTAATGTCTGATAATAAACCGCGCTTTTGCCATGTTTTTGGCCATAAACTATGAGCCCATCAACCCTTGAAATATATACCAAGTCCTAATGAAGAACCCCCGGCACTATCTGTATAAAATTTCAGTGCTTCATAAGAATTTCAAAGTCTATCTGTCATTAAAGTAAGGCCATTAAAATTCTCTAAAAAGG